GGGCGATAATATTTGGTTTCAACAATTTGAAAAGTGACTCAGACTTTTAAAAATTTCGACGCAAAAAGTCAAAAAAAAAAAAAAAAACTTTTATACAAGTTTTGTTATTATCAATATTTGCTATACTTTTTCTATACTAATTTATAAAACACATTAAAAAAGTAATCGAAATCTAAATAAATGTGTATATAGCTTTCGAGTTTCGGAAAAGGGAGAGTGATCTCGCAATGGTAAAAGGGGTATATACGGCAAAACAGGTTGAGAACCACTGCTGTGATGTATATTAGGTATCATCGAGCCTTGCTAACTGTTAAGCTGCCTCACTTCTTTTGAGAGTGAACACTCCGGGGTGGGGCGGTCCAAAGGTATGTATTCCACCACTCTTGCCATAGCACCAACTTCTCAAGAAAACTTTTTGTTGGCGGTGTATTTTGAGCACCCCTAGCTGCATAGGCGTTGTACGCTTATAAACATCCAAGCCTTCTCCAGGTTTCGAACCCGAGCCCATCAGTATGGCAATCAGCGTCACTAACCATTGTACCGGCTTGGTGGTGGTGTTTTTTGACATCTGTTAAGTATTTATTCGTTTTACATTTGTCAATTAAGTTATATAAAATAAGGAAACTTTTTTAATTCATTCACAAGCGGCATTGAACATTGTTATTAGGGTGAAGGGTGTGTGCTTATAATGCTACATGTACTATATATAGTTTATTGTGAATAATAGAATAACTTGATTGTTTTAAAGTTAACTTTATCAGGGACGCCTTCATCAGTATAAAATTTATAAATTTCAGCTACTAATGAAGTTCATTCGAGATTGAATTTTATTGGAGCTTTACAAACGACCGAAGTGCCCGGGAAAATATATCACTCAATTTAGGCGCCATTAAAAAAAAAAAAAAAAAAAGTACTTTTAAATAACGGAATTTTAGCGGGTTACCTAAAAATAGGCTTAACAGTTTAACGCTATCACAAATGTGATTTTTGAAACAGCGAATTAGTTGCGGGTGCTAAGGCCTTTCTTTACATTTCTTTTCATATTAAAGCTTCCGTATGACTTCCGAGGTGGTATCTGACTTTATTTCATGTCCGTTTTTGCAAATTCGAGTAGAGGGTAAAATACGCCTTCTTGGGAAAATATAGTAGCTTCATTTTTACTTGATGGTAAATTGAAAATTTTATTATTTGTAATTGCTTTTAAAAAATAGTTGGGTAGATTTTTTTTTGGACGGATTCTTATTTGTTTTGGTTATGATTTTAAGTTTGCTGTACCGTTTACAGGTAAAGGCCGCTAAACTTGCCGACTAATCGCTGGTAAAACCGTAAAGTACCGGAGCTTTTCTTGCATTTAAAATCACTCTCGGTGCTATAGTTTATTATTAGTTGACATAATACTCTTACGAATTTTGTATATACTCTCGATTATCCGGTTTGCGGATTATTTGGTGCTTCGCGGTGCTCATACACGCACACTTATAAGAGGGTATAATATATAATATATATATATATATATATTTTAAAAAAACGTGCAAATCCAAGCTTGCGCTGAAATCATTGAATCAAGTCTTTAGTTTTAGATTTAATAATTGCCTCGTACAATTCGCTCTGCAATTCGCTCGTACAATTCGCTCGTACAATTTATCTAATCATGAAGAAACAGAGGCAATAACTGAAGTTGTATGCGAAACAAATTGAAAATGAGAAATTTTTCGAAAATGTCGATCGGAAAGACATCTAGGAATGGTTCGATGGTTATATACTAAGCGGGGTTTTCAGTGCTTGATTGATACGGATATCCTTTCAAATGTCACAAGAATAGAAGAGGCAGAGAGGAGTGATACTGAATCTACAAGCGAAGAAGGTACTGACAAATACATTAGTCGCGAGATAGCAATGACTTCTGTTGAAACTCTATTGGACTTGGTCGAACAAAGAAGATTCGAATAGAATGATTTTTTTTTAAATCGCAGCTTATCACAGAGCCACTTAATTATTCATATTAGCGTTATTCATCAAAGGTGCATGAGACTGATTATTCTCCAATCTCATGCACCTTTGATGCCACTTGATTATGCATCATTATCCGGGCTAATGCCAGGGAAGCAGGCCACGGATAACTGAAAACACGGATAATCCACGCTATCAATTTTCATGCATATTATATGGGTTTATTTCTTTAAAAAAGTCAGTAGTTTTACTTCGTTTTTGAGAACGTTTAAATTTTTGCCGAATTTCACTGCGTGTTTTTCAAAGTGATATTTTATCATTCTGTTCGCTGATAAACTAGCTAAAAAAGGAACTGAAATTTTGCAAACAAATACCAATGGGATACTGGAGCATTACAAAAATTAGAATTACAAAAAGACAAAACAGCACAGCAATTAACCTCATTGCAATAACAATAACTACATCGAAACTGGAAAATGGAGATATGACTGACTACATTAATCATTATTTAAAAAAAAAAAAAAAAGAGAGAGAGAGAGAGAGCGAGAAAGATGAAACGTCGCAACTGCAATGGGTCTGGGATATTACAAATCAAATCTCCACTTCTTATTCTTAATTTCTTCAAGTAATTTAACATCAAAATTTTTCCTAAGGAAATTTTTTACTATTCCTTTCATTGATGCAAATGGTATCCCACTGTTATTTGTTCGCAAAATTTCAGTTCCTTTTTTTAGCTAATTTATCAGCGAACAGAATGATAAAATATCACTTTGTAAAACACGCACGTTCTGAAAAGCGAAGTAAAACTACTGACTTTTTAAAGAAATAAACTCATATAATATGCATAAAAATTTATAGCGTGTATTATCCGTGTTTTCAGTTATCCGTGGCCTGCTTCCCTGGCATTAGCCCGGATAACCGAGAGTCCACTGTACGTAAATAATTTTAGTGAAACTATATGTAAAAATTGTATCGCTTGTATATAATGTAACATGAAAGGTCTTAAGAGGATGAAGCATTGTCGAAAAACAGGGTTACAGAGGGAAGTCCATTTAACATTGAGGTAAGTGGCTATCTCGCTAAACTGGCGAGGTAGCGGCAATCTGGCGATTGTTTTGTCGGCTAATTTTTGTCTCGAAATTTGAAAAGATGTCGCTTGACTTGTGTGACATTTTGATCCTATACCTATGTAATTAGTCCGATCCCTATGTAACTGTATTCGGCCTTGTATATCTGTGCCTGCTTTCCAGCAGTTTCGAGAAATCGAAAGTATTGGAGATTTCTCTGCAGACGGGAGAAAACTATACAATACCGCAAAGAGCATTAGCTTACTTGAGGTCAGAGTTTAGCTCAGAGTATTAAGAGATTACCGTGCGAGCTTATATATGTATATATACTATATGCACTTGAGGCTTTACGTATATATTGTCTTATGTGTAACGTTTTTAATAGTTTGAAATGGTAACTATTGATTGTGTTTTGTAATGCTGAGAAGAGCTGCACGAGTACGTTTGTGAAACGTTCCAGAACTGTAAAGTGTTTCTTTTAGGAAAATAAATTTGATCAAGCTATCAAAAAATAATAATAATTGTTGCATTTTCGTAATGAATTGATGGTACACTGAATCCATGATAGCTTGATGAAATTTATTTTTTCAACAGAAACACTTTACAGTTCTGGAACTTTTCACAAAATTACTCGTACAGCTCTTCTCAGTATGACAGAGCACAATGAGTAGTTACCTCTTCAAGCTACTAAGAACGTTAGACACAAGACAATTTAAAAAAAAAACTTGAAATGCACAGTGATCACAAATGATCAAGTTCTCACAGTGTGACTCAATACTCTGAGCTAAACAATGAAGTAAACTAAACTGATGCTCTCTTCGGTTTTATATAGCTTTCCCCCGCGTGCCGAGGAATTTAGAATACTTTCCATTTCTGGAAATTGCTGGAAGCCATGCAAAGTTACAGTTACATAGGACCGCATACAATTGTAGTTACCAAAGGATAGGACCAGTTACATAGATATAGGATCAAAGGCGACCTTTGACGATTGCTCGCCAAATTTAGGGACAAAAATTAGACGCCAAAAATCATCGCCAGCTTGGCGCTATCTCACCAAAATGTTAAATGGGCTTAACCCTGTAACCCTGTTTTTTAGGCGATTCTTCACACTCTTGAGGTCTTTCATGTTACATTATACACGAGATACTACACTTTTACATATAATTTCACTAAAGTTATTTAATTCGTAACAATACATATCTTCTAAATAAGCTGACTCTATAAGCTTGATAAAGACTGTGGAATTTATGTTGTGAAATAAGTTCAATTCTGCCTGTGGCCCCTCCAGAGACTGAAATAGTTAGAAAATTTGGTTTTAAGGCATTAAAATGGTGACATTTCGCTGAATTTATAGATCTTAATTAGAATATATTATGTACATCTGAATTTAGTGAGATACATTTCACATACTGTAGCTGCAAATCTAAATTAATAAAATTAATTTCGGTAAATTTATTTTGCCAAATTCTGATTGTTAATAATTGTTAAAAGATGATACAGTTAAGAAGGTTTAGTTTAAAAGCGTCAACATAAGAAGTATACGATACAAATAAAAATCTATGTTAATTAAGCGATTTGCATACGATACTTGTATTTTTGATATCTGCTTTCTGTAAAAGAAATATTCATAAATATATTTGCATTTATAAAAATGGGTCCTGTATTTCTGTTACGCCCAGTAACCACAATCGTTGGCATACAGTTTAAAATCCTGAAACTTAGAACTTTTGGAATTTTAACTTAATATTCCAGCTAATTTTTAAAACGATTTTATTTCTAAATCTAATCGTACCAAAATATCATTATTTCTTCAGCCGAAGGTGCTATTTTATGAACTCCAGTGTATTTTCGTCAAAGAGCTGCTGGCATCCCAACCTTTTGTTAATATTTCACTTAAAACTTTGTGCCAACATTAGTGGTTACAAGGCCAATCTTCTTGTTGAGAATCTCCCAGGTAAGCTGTATACTGTTTGCATGCTTCAGGTGGTGACGATGTGCAACAACTTTGTGAAGCAGGAGAGGAGGAATTTCTAGAGATTATGGCGTTGGTGGGGATGGCCAGCAAACCTCTCCACGTCCGCAGGTTGCAAAAGGCGTTGCAGGAATGGGTCAACAACCCAGGTAAGTCCTCTTCATCTAAGTTCTTCCTAAAGACTTTTATTAATAAAAATGAATATGTTAGCTCTATAAGAAAAGTCGTATATTTGTGCTGAGACTTTTAATTGAGGAAACAAGGATGAATCTAAAATATGTTCTTTTAATAGCTTTATTTTCTACTGATGACATTTTCAAAAAAAGAATTCCTTAAATATCAGTCTGACGTTATTTCTGGTTTTACTTTTCCGCTCAGTTGGATCCATTATCTAAATTGATGTTATTTTCTTAATAATTGTCTGCAAAGTTTAGAAAATTATGTTTAAATATGCTTCCTTTCATCCTTTATTAAAATTAATGTAGATTTCTTTGCGTGAAACAAAGTCGTTCTTTATTGAATTCTTGTTTATATTTCATATAAGTAAATTTTTAATTTGGTAACCTTATTTCCGTTATACGAAATGAGTTATTACTTCTAGTTATAACCTGCTGTACTTGCATTTTTCTCAGATTTAGGGCAAGCATTTATTTCTTCAAGTACTTTAGCCACAAGGCTTTAAAAAAACTCTCTGAAACGAGTTGTTTAAAGCTCTTCTACGTAACTGACAACTGATGTCTCTTCCTTTTGAGAAGCCTTTGCATTATTTGTTCGGTATTATTGAAACATGAATGCGCGCAAACTCGCAGTTTTTTGAGGTAAGTTGGTAGTAGAGTTTCAGTATTTTCAGGGAAAGCTAGGAAGATTGCATTTCATTGCACTAATTTCTAGCAATGAATTAATGGAATTAGTTTTAATGTTAATGAAAGCAATTATGCTGATATTCAAAACTGGTAAGTTTTTCTGCCCTTTGCGAAAATTTTATTATTTAATGGAATATCGTGAAGGTAAGTTTAGTTTCTCTTAGGAGAAAGTGCTTTTGCCTTCTTCAATTTTCTTGTAAATGCAAGGATAATAAATTTCATAATATACATGCCCTAAAATAGTTACTACTAAAGCACTATGTTGAGCTTTTCTCCAGGAATCAATTCATTCGATAAATATTGTAGGTTTATTTTATTAAAAATCGTGTTTGAAATTCTCTGAAGTGTTTCCCCTGCCAGTCATTTCCCATACATAAATGTGAAGTTTCTATAACTTACGATTGACACTAAATGAAAATTACATTAACTGTGTGTCTTTAAGCCCAATATTTAAACACGTTTACTACAGACTTTGTCCTTTTTATGTCGATAGCAAGTACTTCCGGCTACAGTTTCTTAAAATTGGGTAAAGAATTTTATGAGGACTATTTCAGCGTTGTAGAATGAAAATTTATGGGATGGGACTTTCTATGATTTTATAGGGTAAAATTTCGATATGGAAAAGCTTTATTCCTTAATTAAATACAAAGTTTCATATCTTTAAGTAAAAAATTCGCAGAATATCAGTAATCAATATTTTCCTGGAGTCGCCCAGAAAGTTAATAACGAGTGATGTTTTTCCGGTGCAGATCCGAACCACCAGCAGCCAATCATTAATGTCGCTGAACACTGGTAGTTTGACCTGGATTCGATTCCAGGCGAATGGGCTGGCACCATGTTTAGTTTTCCCCATGTTTAACGCGATTACAAGCCAGTTTTCCTTCGAAAGTCCTCCACAGAGGCATTCCTCTCTTAGGCAAATAACCCTCGAGTGCTTTGCCATAATCAAATAAACCAAACCAATTATTTTGCAGTTTCTTCTTAAATCTGGGAGAAATTATTTAATAATAGGTATTGAAAAATGATTTAATTCGTTCTTGAGTATCATCATTAAATTTTTACTTAAACATATGAAATGTTTTATTTTTAATTCGTCATAGCTTAATGAATATCTTATTTATTGGAATTTTAACTCTACGGGGATTATATTAAAAGAGAGATTATATTTTTGCAGAATGCTTCTACTCAAAGTATTGACATTGTTTTTATAAAATTCTGTGCCTTTTTTTAAGAAACTTCATATTTGTCTAGAATATTTAACGAAAAATCGAACAATACTGTACAATCAAACAATCCGTAATGTGTAGTGGTAGAAACCTATTTCATTAATTATAGTAGTGGTACTAATTCTCATAAACATTATCATTTGGATATATTATGAATAAAATTATCTGAAAATAAGTTTATTACTTTTAAGTCGCTTATTTTTTTAGCAGATGAAACGTAGAATGGAAAATCTCCTAGATTGGCGAGTAAGAAGAAAACTCTGCTATATAGGCCTCTTTATCAATTTTGTATGTTAACAATTTGTTGGATATTTAGTGAAAGATTTCAAAAGCGTCTGATTGGAAAACGTTTTCGCGGAAAGAGACTCAACAGCTGTGCGCGTGTAGTGCATTCTTCTATCTGCTTTATCAGTAAAAGCGTAGCATATGTATTAAGTTATGGTACAGGGGTTGGACAAAAATATGGAAACACCGAAATAAAAACATATTGCTGTGACTAATACGGGGTAGGAATACCGTTGGCATTCAAAACTGTTTGCAGCCTTCTCGGAATGGATAAACAGAGTTCTTGCATGCTTTGCATCTTGTACCATTCTTCTTGTAAAACGTTGGCAAGTTCAGTTAACGGTGATGGTGGTGAATAGCGCTTACCCTGATTTCTCTCAAAAATAGCCCACAAAGGCTGAATAATATTGATATCTGGTGACTGTGGTGGCCATGGTAGATGTGAAAGTTCACCCTCATTTCTAAAAAAACCAGCCCTGGACGATGTCAGGTAAGTGAACAGGAGCTCTATCATCTTGGAATACGGCATCACCATTGGTAAACAAAATTTGTACCATGGGATGGATGTAATCAGCCAAAATGGTCACATAATCCTTGGCAATAATGTGACCTTGCACAATAATGATGGGTCTCGTGGAATACTACGATATGGCTGCCCAAACCATGACTGAACCCCCGCCATGTTTCACTCTCGGCAGCAAACAATCTGTATCATACGCTTGAAACGACGTTCCCCAGGCGTAAACTCGCCCAGATGCCGGAAACTATGTGAAGCAAGGTTCATCCGACCAAATTGATAGTCTTCCATTGCTCTACATTCCAGGTTTTAAGACTCTGGCACCACTTTCTCCTCTTATAGGTATTTTGATCACTGATGAGTGGCTTTGAATTGCAGCTCGCTTGAAAATACTCTGCTTGTCTCCTTCGTATTATTTTGGTTCTGACAGGGTTTGCGAGTGCGACATTCAGTTCAGCAGTCACTTTTGCTGCTGTAGTCCTTTTATGTTTCGTCACAATCCTCTTCAGTGATCGTCTGTCATGATCACTCAGCACACAATTTCGTCAGCGCTGTGACTTAGCGGATGCTGTTTTTCCTGTAGGAGTTAAAAGTCTTAGATACTGTGTCTCTTAAAACACCAAACAGTTCAGCTACCTTGGTTACGGAAGCACCCACCATACGAGCCCCAAGAATTTGCCCTTGTTCGAATTCATTTAGCTCCGACATGATGCACTCACAACTGCACAGAACACTCTCGATAATGAATGACACTTGCAACGTATTGAGAATGTTGTACAGGTGGCGTTAGTGAGCAAACACATCAGCGCCACCAACAGCTTTTGCAGGAATAAACATTTCAGTTTAAACATGTATTTTACGAGGTGTTTCCATATTTTAGCCCAACCCCTGTAGGTCTCTAACTGACAATTCGATAAAATTTAGGAATTTATTATAGTTTTGAAATATTTTATTCTTTAACATTGAATCTAGCATTTATATTAATTTAAAATCGGTAATTTTTTTATTTAAATTCTAAAAGCTTAAACATTAACAGAATACGGTATCTAAAAATATTATTAGATAATATATTTTGAGACGTCATTATTATTACCTTCTTTTGGGATTGTCGCCGACACGAACGTTTTTTGTTCCCCCTTCCCCCCCAAATAAATCATAAAATTTCACAACTACAATATCTTCCTTTGATTTTACAAATAATATCAGTGTTTTGAAATTAATTGCTAATATCCGTTACGTAGAGAAACATTGTGAATGGTAGATGACATATTTCTTTCATAATGTCTCTTTCTTGTTTAATTTAATAATCTATTTGTGTTTAAAGATGTTTGACTTAGTTTTGTATTGTCTTGGAAAAGCAGCATATGAAACATGCATAAACCATATAGCAGTCATTTAGTTGAATAACTGGACTGGATTAAAAGAGAAGACAAAGTCCTCTTTTATATCAAACGTTTTCCTTGTCCTGCATATTTACATAAAATTTATGGGCGATAGTACGCCTTAACTAGAAAATATTTCTTCTTTAACAAAGCATTCTTATTCATCAACGAATTTATCATGTATGTAGGTGTAATGAATTTGTATATTGTCAGTTTCTTTTCGAAACGGTGATTTTGTTCCATGTTGTGCTACTGTGACTTAGCTCCTTCCTCTGACAGTAACATCAGAACAAGTTCACATATTCTGTCGTGGCTAAGAAGCACAGGATTGCGTCTGTCACTATCAAGGGCAGTGGACGACGCACAAGTGATAGTATGACTTTGCTCATTTCTATTCCAGTTTTGAAGAATCCCCATGTCCAAGGGCCTCTTATCCTTCTCTACCACCAAACCACTCAAAAGGTCTTTCGGCTTCCCGTGGATTTTAAGTGTCCCCATGCCACAAAGATACTATACATATACAAATATTCAAGTCCTCTCCACGATTTGAACGTTTTCCCACGATAGGGCAGCCAGCAGCATTAACCACTAATGAATCTAGAGTAGCGATTTTTGTGTCATAAATCCCTTGAATGCGCTATTTCTACAATAAAACCATAATATGTGTATTACTTGTTTTATAGGTATTACAATCCCATTTCAATGTTTGTTTACAATTAATTGGTTACATGAAAATCTTATCAGTTATTTTTAAGTAATATTTGTAGTTTATAATAGTCATAATTTTGCGAAAATGTCATTTGGTAGAGATTTATTTGGCTGATTGAGCACGGTTGGAGATATCGTTATCTCATCCTAAAACTTTTCGTATTCAAATGAAAAGTATAGTATTTCTGTAAAAATATTGTAGTTTTTTTTTTTTTTTTTTTTGTGTGTGTGTGTGTTGTTGTTGTTGTTGTCCTCCTGGCTTATCCCCATACCTGGATGTATCACGCGGAAAGCCCTTCTAAATAATCACAGTGGTTTCGAATATGCCTTTTTTTCGGCAAGTATCCGTGGTGATTGAACGACTTTATGTCCATTTTCAGTCAGGTTTTCTCCTGGAGGTGGAAGCCGATCTTTCCTCTTTTTCTTTCAGCCCGTTCAATCGACCGATTTTAAAGTGCTTGTATGTCGCCAAAATAAAGCAGTTAAAAGATAATGGTTAGCCCCTTTCCTGTCTGTAGTTAGCAAAGCTAGCTACCCTATGTTTGTGTTCGGTAGGTAATTTATGACAATAAAATATTTATGACTATTTTTAGAATATGCCTTTTAAGGAACTTTTTAAAGACAATAGGTCGCATTGGATTTATCCATTAGGGGACAAAATAAATTCACGAAAGCACTTCTCTAGCTAGTCTTCGAGAATCGCACTTGGGGTGCATCTTCGTACTTTTAATCACTCTGGCTATTGGGGAGCTTCGTTAATTGCAAAATTTCAATATCTTTCACCTTTCCCCCCCCCCAGATTATTGGGGCGCGACTGTGTAGTAATTTTTGTGTTGTTTGCGCGTGTTAGAATAGTAATGTAAATTTTATGAAATTACAAATAGCTTTACTGTGTACAATTTAAAAAAAAATCTTACCTGTCTGCAGATACATGAATGTTTGAAAAGTATGGCTTTGTTTCAACTCAGTTTATAAGTTCTTCATCGAATCAGTAGCATATTTTTCATAAATATGAAATAACATATGCAAAAAGGAAACGGGGAAAATTGACTGTACTCTTGTTCAAGTGGAACAAGAGCAAGTCAATTTATTCAGGATAAGTCACATTTTAAAATGACTTAATTCGACGGTGAGGTGCTGCTGAAGCTTGCTCTACTGATGACAAAATGGAATTTTGAAACATGTATCTAGAGGCAAATAAAATTAGAAAACAGGAAAGTGTAATTAGACAATACTGCTGTTGCTTATTCCTTAGTATTAAACAGTACTGGATATCCTTAAATGTAGACAGGCTCATGAATGATCATGAGTTGGCTGAGAGCTAGATGAACCTTTAAGCAGAATCAGCACGTGCTTAGGGCATCAAATAAAAAGTTACTTAGGTTCTGAGGAAAGAGGGTTTCACAAAAATTTCTCATTTCTTGTTTTACCGTAGAATGTATGGTGCAGGTAAACAAAGAAAAAAAAAACGAAAAACGAAAAATGGGGGGAAAATACGGGCAAGATGCTGTAAATGTCATGAGGAGGCACCAAAAACATTTTAAGGCCTCTAAAAGTTTTAATCCGGCCTTCAAGGATAAATTTATTTATCCTTGAAATAGTCTGAAAGTTAAAATTTTCTTTTATCTACCGTATTTTAGACATCAGTAGTGTTTTAAAAAATGCCTAGTTCTTCTTTCTGTTACCGCTGTTTTAACTTATTTTCCGACTTCTACCTTCCTTCTTAAATCATAATTGGAGAGAAAGATGTAAAAGATTTAAGTTGCGTCTGTCTTGGACTGCGGGCGTTATTTCATTAGAGAGTGTCACAAGCCGAATTCGCCATTTTTCATTATAAGCAAAGCAAGATATTTTGTACTTAATATTTTTATTCCTATCAGTGTTATTTAATAGAGATATAGAAAGTGCTATTCCTGTACGTGAATGCAATCTTCTCCAGTCTCCACCTTTCAGAGTGATGACAGCGCAAATCAGATAACACGAACGCTTGCTTTTTTTTCCTGCTGATATTTTTCTTTTGTTTGTACTTGTGTGTGAGAGCAAATCAGAGGGTTTATTATTTTTATGTTTTGAGCCCCTGTATCCCTTTTTAGTTTCTTTCGCCCCCCTCTCCTGTTTTTCCTTTCAGTTTATTTTTTTACGGTTCTGTTCTGTAAGAGCAAATGAAAATTTGTTATGGAGGAAAGAAGAAAGAGTAACGAAGCATGCAAAACTGTGGAAGAACGGAGGAAAAAAGTTAAAGAAATTATTAACTACACATCCTGTTTCTGAGATCAGCGCGAATTCAGGCGTGACTAGAAGAATACCCAATTCTTTTATGCAACTGCACCAGGTGTCACTATTAAGCCATCCAACAGTTCTATTCAATGAGTAGTTATAGAATAACCCCTTCTTTAAATAAATAATAAAAAAATTGAAAAAATTAATAAATCACCTAAGATCAGAAATATTTCTGCCCGTTTGAAATTAATTTGGGAATAAATTTAAATATTTTCTTCTTTCTCTCTTCAGAGTTGCCTTGAATTTAACGTGTCTTAGTTATTATAATTATGTTTGTTTATTTTATAATTTTCATTTTTAAATTTATTAAAAGGACTAGTTTTTAAGATAAAGCTAAAACATTTGTTCGATTATGATTTATTATTTTATTAGAATTTTCTCCTTCTTGAAAAATCTTGTAAGAAAGTATTTTTTCGGTTAAATTGGATAATCCCTACATGCATTTCAGTATAATTAACAAACCAGCAGCCATTTATTGTATGGTCGAAAAATTTCGGGGGACCGATTAAAATATTAACATTATTTCTATTATTTGCAGTTGATACTAGTAGTTAATTCTTAGAAGTTTACATTCTGAATGCTTATATGACAACCTTGCCTTACATGCCTTGCAAACTTGCCATATTTCCATTCGCAGCATTGATGTTTAGAACAATAACCATTCTTCCGGCATTTGGAAATTCTCTTTCCATAAAAAGTCTTATTTTTCGTTTATCTTGGCATTTAAAGAGGTTATTTCGTAAAGCTCTGAATCATTTTTTTTTTTTTTCAGTCCCCAATTTTTCAAAAAAAACGTTTGTGAGTTTCAAAAAAAAAAAAAAAAAAAAAAATATTTTTTTTATAAATAATATGTAAATCATAACAATAACTAAACGGCATAATTATAATTATGTATGCTAAGTATGCATGTTTTTCTTGTGTTAATACCATATTCTTTGTATTAAGATATAAGTTCGTAGAAATATTTTGTGGAAGTATGATGTGTGCTGCGCAATAGTATTCCTATTAATCTTGAACATATTCAAAACTGAGCAATACAATTCAGTTGTGTAAGCAAAAGTATCATTTTCTGAACAGAGTATCTGTAGAAACTTATCAGTTAGCTACATTAAAACTTTTATGAAGCAGATAAAGTGTATGCATTTTCATATTTAACTTTGCATCCTTAAGACATACACTGCTCAACATTGAAACTGAAGTACCGAGAAAGAATGGTCATAGAAATATGATCTTTTGCATATGAATAACATGTCTACTGACCTTCTAAATTTCATAAGTTGGAAACAATGTAATCAAATCATCTGGATTTATTCAGTTTGGAATATGACCGCTATGCACGGAAATGCGTGCATTTACGCTATCAGTGAGGTCATTAAGCATTGCCTGAGAAATATTTTGCTGTGCTGCAAGCCCTTGTTCATGTGAAGCATTAAGATTGCCAGCTGGCCTTTTTTCAGTAACCAATAATATTCCAGATGTGTTCAATTGAAACCGATCTGGAGATGCGGTGGGCCACGATAACTTGATAACTTTACGCACATTATTTATATTCATGCTTTAAGCAACATGTAACTTAGTGTTTTTTTGTTTTGTTTTGTTTTTTACAAAATAACTTCTGGGATACCTTGTAGGAAGTGTCGTACCACTGGCTTTATGAACAGCAAGGCCGGTATGACGTTCCCTCGTGAATGCTTGTTGATGGTGTTGTGCACATGGTTTCGAGATCTATCTCCGATCACAATTGCTTATGAGACATAAGCGAGACTTATCATTAAAAAGAATAATTCTGCATCCTAGCCTTCTTTCCGCCTGGATGTACGCATAGTGCTTTTGAGTGATGTGGTTAATGAAACACATGTGGTTGATCATCTGACTCGTTGCCCATTATTGTGATTTTTGATTGTTTTTGTAGACACTGCTTAATCTGTTGAGCTTAATATACGACTTCCAAGCTCATCCGCAGTAGAACAATGACCACTACGCGCCGTTCTTCTAATCCAAGGGTCCATCCAAGCAGAAGTTTGCTTCTGGCTACCACTTTTTCTATCCCAGAATCAAGTTTTCTTCCTTATGTTCAAAAGATTTTCTTGCTCCAAACTAACTGGAGGTCGTTATGAAAAGTCGCTTAGTAACTTATTAACGGTATTTTTGTATGTTTTTATGTCAAGAACTTTTGAATCCTCAAGAACTTTTGGGGAGGAATTAAATTTCAGCTATAGAAATAGATTTTAATTCACGCATTGATTTTATGATGCATTAAAAGTAAAATAGAGATTAAATTATTGATAAGTATGCATATTGCTCAGTTTGTCAAATTATACCCAATGTATTTTCATAGTTTGATTGATAACGTAAAAACCTCATCTAAAATTGGTAACAAACAATTTTATGATTGGCGGTCTACCAGGAAAGCAGAATTAAAACCTTCTATCGCAGGGTTGGAAACAGCTATGAGAATGGCAATTTGGCAAGTCTTGTGTGCAAATAATGCTATGGTATCGAATCACAACATAATTCGACACAAAATGAAAAAACTTGACGATAAATTTTCTAAGTTCATAATTTTCGGATCTGTTCATATGTATGCATAGCTACAAACAAATTCCTACTTTACGTATCTTACACATGTACCTATTTCCGCATGTTTTAATATTTTATGAAGGTATTTGTATTTATCAAAAGATATTTATGAATTATCTCTTCTCTTATTTCAGCTATGTTTCAGACTCCGTTGTTGCCTACTGTTCCTCAGAGTCATTCTCCATATCCAGTGAGTCCTGGACCTCCCGTGGTCAGGCCGGGACCCCTGAACCTTTCTCAGCCATCTCCAGTCACATCAATGCAGCCTAGTCCTCCTATGCCCATTTTAAGTAACAGCAACAGTCAGTCTTCGCCTTCACCTGGTGCTAAAGATGCTTCTTCCCCTCAGCCTCCATCAGCTCTCACTTTTCAGCAGGTATGCATGCATGTATGTTATTTCGAATTGAATTGGTCCTTGGGCTCTCTTTAATCTTCTTTCGCATTTTGGTTTTCTGTATGCAATGTTGATGATTTCTTGCCTTGGCAAACCGCAAAAAAAATAATATATAGGTGTTACAGATCTATATTATATGGCAATGAGTTGGGCCTTCTGCGCTAAGTTAAATAGCTAATATGAAATGATAAGTTTGCGGAGAAACACGAAAAAATTTTTAAGCTTTTATGTGAAGAAAAAATTAAGCAAATGAAGAAACAGAGGGAAAACTTTTAGAAGCTAATGATTTGCATAAAACTGTTTTATTTCGTTGCCGTATAATAATTATTTATAAAAAGTAATGTTATGTAGTATAGCTGGAGGGCGACGTATGCAAAATTCACCGCAATTTTATATTTTTATTTAGCTTTAAAAGGCCTGTTGTAATTTTCTGTAAAATTTTAAATGTCTTTTTCAGTAATTCAACTGATGTGTTGTTGCATTTTTTTTTAAACTACTGTTATTTAATACTCGTGTTTTGCGGAAAATTCATGATTACAGTTTTATGCACAGGTACAATCAGTAGAAGTCATTGTACCTAATAGTTACCGGTTTAAAAGCATATCATAAGAAATTAAATATCTGTCATTATATTTTTATTTATTTATTAATAAATACATTACTTTAGGTTAAAACGTTTTTTAGTTCTTACCTTTTGGGGAAGCATTGTAAATTGAAAAAATTCTCAAGGCTCTGGCAAACATATATTGAATATATTGCGAAAAAAATTAAACCATGTTTCTTCGGTATATCTGCGGTTGTTTGCGACCTGCTTGTGAATTCCATAAATTTTGACTTTTTATAGCGTAGCTTTCTACATCTATTAAAACTTTAATGTTATTAACACCGAAGGTTGATGAGTTAATGCAATTAACATAAATGTGCAGTGCATATATTTTAGTCCTGAAAATAACTGCATGTAGTTCTAGAGGTATTTTCTTTAAACAGTGATTTGAATCATTAAATCATGCATTGAGCAGTGTGGCAAATGTGTTGCTATGTATAAACTGAAAGCAAGTTGTTCTGCGCGTGTACAACAAAATCCAGTTTTAAAGTAACAAAAGCAACGAAGGTATAATATTTACCTTAATTGCACAAACAGAAAGGAATGGTGTGCATTTGACATCGCCAGTGTGAAACTGCTGCAATTATATTCTCGGGTGTTAGAAGACTGGATGTGAGGCTTGCAGATAAAATATCCATGCAAGCTTCTGAAGTAAACCCGGGAGTATTGACGGAATTATGAATGCGGTCTGGAAGAAAATTTTAATAGTATGTCAGAAAACGATAAAGATACGTTTGCAGGCTCTGTAACGTTAATCTTCAGGCACCCATGCAAGCTTTTGAAGAACGTCTTAAGTGAACCCGGGGTTATTGATGAAATAATGAATGCAAGTTGGGAGAAAATTGTAGTAGCATATCAGAAAAAATAAAGTGACCTTAGCGGCTTTATAACGTTAGGCTTCAGAGATATATAGAGGCTTAGAGGGAAACAGTTGGATAATTTAAGTTTTAAAATGAAATTATTTGGTTCAGTCAATATATTATGCAATGACATCCTAATCACACGAATAAAAATTCTGCATGACCTTGTGCAAATGCTGCACCGTACTGCTGCTGTTTGTACAATTAGAAATGTATATTCTTTTGTCGTTGTTTTCCATTACGTATTGGGAAAGCTTTTCTACCGGACCTTGAAAAGATTTGTGATGTCCCACTTGAGTCATATCAGAAAAATTTTTCCCCCATCAGCTGCGCTTAAAATTTAACATTGTTGAAGGTCACTGTCTGTTTTCAAATTTGAAGAATTCTCCTGCTTCAGCTACGCATAAGTGTTATTTATTTAAGACTTATAAATTTAGGATTTTTTTTTTTATATTTAGATATTGAGTAAGTTGTTGTTATAAATGTATAGAACGGTCCAAGAATTTCGCAGAAATTCCAAAAATGTGTAAAAATCGCAAATAGGTGCACGAAAATGTGATTGTTTTAGAAATCGGCCCAAATAGAAAGGAGTGAAGGGAACACGATATAGAAGTCCAGTTAAATACGAATTTTTACATCTTATTAAAATTCATATATTGTATATTGGGAAACAAAAACTTTAACTTGATAAAAAATAATAAAGCATTTTTACTGCATTCATTTGTACTGAAACGTACAGTTGTTTCAATATGAATTCATTTTTTAGTGAACCTGCAAAATGGCTTTGAAATATGGCATACATGCAAACATTTTTTTAACCCATTAAAAGAAAAACGTCCCTTTTTCCGATGCATATTTCTATGGTTTTAAAACTGTGATAATTATGAATAAATTATTTTTCTTTTACTCAGAAATTATGTATTATGTGTTCTAAGTATAACATAAAAATAGAGGCAAAATGTTTGCAAATTTTGACGCTAGAGGGCCTCAAATGTGCAAATTTTAGCAAAAATCAGTGTCATTCATATGACCACGAACACTGATGTGTTAGTGAATTATCTCTAAAAGTCATCAATAGAGTTAAAAAAAAAATCAAATATAATTACCCATTTGGCTTAAATTCATACAGCATCTTTCTAATGGACTGATGTGAACAATCAGTATTTTTCAAATAAACATCATCTTTGAATCCTCACTGTTAATGGGTTAAGTAAGTAGTTCCGCGTGTAATCAGCCATATAAATTTTTAATATGTGATTATGGTTTTATAAGTTTAAACATTTTATTTTAGTTCCTTATAAATTCCTTTACTTTTGAAAAATACATGCGGTTACCTAGATTAATTCTACGATGTCCTTAATGTACTGCTTCAAATGTAAAAATTACCTAATAATACAAAGGAGATGAAAGCGTAGTTGAGAGTTATAAAATATTAATTCAAAATAGCAGACTGCGATGCCACGTGTCTCCAGTAAGGCGATATAAAACTAGAAGAGCTGGAGGGAAATTTGAAGTGTGAGGCTTGAATTTCATCTTTGCATATTTGATACGGGCCCACCAGCGGCCGAGCGGTAAAGTCGCTGAACACTGGTAGTTCGGTCCGAGGTTCGAATCCCGCGAACGGGCTGGCTGCATGGGTGTTTTCGTGGTTTTCCCCATGTGTAACGTGTATAAGAGCCAGTTTCCCTTAGAAAGTCTTCCACGAAGGCAACCCTCCCCTTAGGCAGATAGCCCTAGTGTGCTTTGCCGTAATTAAATACACACGCACATATTTGATACGTTTTTGAAGCTATGTAGTATCGAGACTTAATTTATTAATCAATGAATGTGTTTGAATGAAAATTGAAAGACAGTATTTGGACGTTCTACGTTATTTTAACGGTTCAGAGTGTCGTGAGTCATTTGCATAGTTTGGAGAAGCTAATGTCACTGCTAAAAGACCAAAAAATTTGTAATCTAGACCATTTATAAGTGAGATCGAATGCTCTCTCTAAGTGACAGCCACAACTCAAGCATGACAGCCACAACATTCATCACTGTCTTGCAGGCACTACATGCACCCAGACGAGTGATAATTCTTAAGAAAGATTTGCATGACTTTTGGGCCCCGATTCGGACTCTGCCGCATTTTCGTGTCAGATATATCGCTAGACGAGATGTGTGTAAACAGAACAACTTGAAAATGATGATGTGCGGCTGCAGAATAACGACAAAGCATTTACTGACAAATCAGTTTATGCAGCTGGTTTCATACATACTTATACAGACGAGCTTTTATATGATTAGCTAGACTGTACTAATTTATTAGATCACGACGATGAGTCATACATTGTTTGGGAAAGTGTCTGATGTAAAACAATTTCGATTTTCTAAATATTGGTGTGATATTCAGAATGTTCATGATAATGCTCAAGAGATCATATGCTGAATTGTCTGAGATGTTGATGATAAATGAAATAATCAAAAAGAGGTTGAGAATTAGCTTTCCCGTTTCAAAACTTATTCCAGATGCATGTGCATTTTTAATATAAGCAAATCGTGATTCAAATTTTACATTCTTTTTCATTTATCTTGAATTGAATGTTTTAAGATAGAAATTCAGCACCTTCCCAGTTTACCTCCACATGGTCAGACGGACAACTCTAAACACAGTTGGGGCAGCAGCTATGAAACATTAGCATTATCTCTCAGATTTGTCTCCTCGTAATTTACAGGGCTGTTCTCATGAGAATTTTAGGATTTTCCTTAATTGTAACATCAGGTTTGTTCTACTAATCCGCAGGAAGAGCTCCATTAATTCATTAGTTTCCCTAAGCAGCTAGACCTTGAGTGCTTGGCTATAATCATTTAACAAAACATAAAAATCTTGCTGCTGTCAAAGTTGATGAGAAAAAACACAATTTAGTTATGTCATACGCCGCTTCAGATCGTATATGTTTTTTTTTACATTTGTAGAGACATTAGTTATTTTATTTTTGGAAGGCAAGATGAAAAATAGCAAACGCCTTCGCCGGGAATCGAACCACGGACCTCTGGAATATCGGCCCAGCGTGCAGAATCACTACACCACGAAGGCACGCTAGGAAAGTGGGAGAAATGCCTTATATACTCCCCTTTTTAAAGGGCGACTGGGGTTTTTAGGGCACCCAATCGCCAAATCCGGGGTGTGGAGAAACCTCATCCAACACCCTTTTAGTTCGGGGTCCACTGTAGAGTCATTAGGTTAATTTGAAGCGATGAAAAATATGCAACCGCCTTTGCCGGGAATCGAACCACGGACCTCTGGAATACCGGCCCAGCGTGCTACGGTTACACCACGAAGGCACGCTAGGGAAGTGGGAGAAATGCCTTATACATTTGCGTAATTTATCTTTGGTACACGCGTTCAAGCATATTCTGCTTCATTAGTGCTTGTAATGTCCTGTTTAATAATTAGGCATGGGAGATACTTCTACATCATTCCATACACTGAGTCTCCAAAAGCCTTAATGTTTATCTAAAATTTAAATAAAAGAGTTAAAAAAAACTAAAATTCTATAAAATTTTCAATTTAGTCAGTGAATGATAAATATGTTTCAAGATACGAAAGACAATTAATTTTGAATACGGAAACGTTTACTTTAGATTATTAAAGCACATTTCTGGCGCATACTATTCACAGGCTTGTGAAGCTCCATATGATTTCAAATGATTATTATGATGAAATTATAGTTTTGTTTAAACTGTATTTCATTTGTTGGATTCTTTGTCATTTACTTTCTGCTTGTTTTATCCAAACATTGTCACTTGGGTAAATAAATGTCCTGCGATTATGCCTCCAGACCAATCTGAAAGAGGGAAATCTGTTTGCTACAAATCCCCGATAACAAAGCACGTTATTATCCTGAAAGATGAAATCACTGTTTCCAAGGATGTTAACAAATGGAGGAAGCATTTTCCTTGCCAGTACTTAGATGTATTCAGTAGTAATAATTTTATCTTCAGGAATATGCAGTTTGCCAACTTAGTGTATCATTTTATCGGCGTTGTGCAAATATCGCGTCTTTTTTTAGGGTCGAATGGATAATCTTGTCATTCCAGATGACCTTACTCTACTGATTCACTGTTAATCTTTTATAACCGTGTACAGAATTTTGAAAAGATCTAAATTTCCTATACCATTCGCTTTAAATCTCGATATTTCAATCCATTTTAAACAGCATCTAAACTGCACACCTGTCAAGTTAGTTTTCAGTTTATTACAGCTGTGAAAGTGCGCTGTCGAATTCAGCTGAATAACACTGATCATTTCGCATACGCTTTTCCTTTCCATATCGATCTGTCGAAGTGTCGATAATATTGAAAGATCTAGCTAACCATTGGTATAGTGTCTCATTCAGAAGAGTAAATGATATTTTTTTGTTTGGAAATTCAAATTATTAGCGAAAAGAATATAGAAAGCGGTGTAATTCGTATACTTTTAAACATTTCCCCCTTCCATGGTTCTTTCATTTGTTTAAGAACGGGGCAGGAAAAGTTTAATATTCTTTAGTCTCATGCATTGGTATACAGACAGATACGAACGATCTCCATATTTCAGGTCGTGCAACTGGTAGCTGCTATATGAGATTTCCTTGTGGTCATTTGGCTAATATTTATTTAAAATTTCGAAAGCTGAATGATACGTTCTACCAACTAGCGTTTCTTGAAGTAAAATACTTACCCCCTCCATGGTTTAATGTTTTGCGCTTGTTTTTACTGATATCAACTAATTCTTCGCATTCATGTGTTATTCATTTTGTTCTTCCGTCCCTCCACTCGTTTGTGGTGTGCTGGTGGAGAAATTAAGCTCAAAGCTAGAAACTGCGATAACTGATTTAAAAATTCTCATCATTCGTCACTGAACTTTTTGAGTCTTTAAATCGGTATATTACACCATTACAATTTAAAATCGACTCTTTGCATTCCGATTTTTAACTTTATCATGATTTTTAAATGAGTTCTCTCCCAAACCAGGCGTATTCTGGTAAAATCTAATCATGAAATGGCGGCTCACTTAGGAAAAGAGTTTTGTTGTTTGTTCACTAACAGATTATGCTGTGCGTGTTTTAAGAAATTTCCTCCGGAATACCTTCGATATCAACAGTTAAACTGTGTCTTTTTTCTTAGGAAATGCGATACGTCTTAAGCGACTTATTAATATATTCAAGGTTGACTTCCATACAGTGAACAGAAGTATAGCTAAAAGTAAATGTTCTAATGATTTTTTTTAATTCGAAGCAAGAGTCGCGCGCTCTATTAAAAAAGAAAAATTTGTTTTTAGAAAATATAAAAGTATACATCTATTTTTATTAATTTATTTATTATATTTTTAATAATGAATTTACTGATTTACCAAGTTTGCCACCATCCTTACAATTACGTTGTAAACCGTCTTGCCCTATATTTATTCGCGATCGTCAAAGCTTTTATTTTATCTTCTAACTTGTTGCATTTACTTTATATTATTGAAGTACATAGTATATTAATCTTCTAATTGCCTACCATCAATTGTTTTTCTTTTCCCCTCAACTAGGCTTTAGGAGAATACCCGCAGGCTCCGGGTTCTCCGACATCTCTGACCCCTGTTCTGGTCGACAGTCAAATTCAGCGGCTGGCTGAAGCTGCAGATCTTCTGGTCAAAACTCTACCACCTTTCGATCCTAAACCTCAGAATAATAAAAAGAAGATTTGCAAAGATTTAGAAGTAAGTGCATTTTGTAACTATATTTTAATAAACGTTATTTGAGGTCTACTTTGTCCGGTCGTATATGCAGGAATGGAACCTTATGGAAAATCACCAGGAAAAGTGTAAATAAATTAAAACATTGTAAATGTTTAGACTGATGTTAAACGTTTATGAAATTGAAATAGTCACTCAGTTCTGATAATATTCAGTATAATGTTGCTACGTCATTTCGAATGATTATTTAAGTGAGCATTTTGATATGCGATGTTTCGCATGCATGTATGTTGTGCCTCGGTGTTTTGTCTTAAATAAAGCAACAGATATAACAGAAATTGAAAAGTATGAAGAAAATCGGAAACTTGCGGGTTCGTTTGATATTCGCGAAATCACTGAAACTCTCGTAACTCACCCTCTTAACAAGTATTTGCGTCTCTATAATCTAGAAAAATAAGCAATAATTAATCAAATAGTTACTATTTATGAATGTAAGCTGACAGCAAAAGACAAGCAAAAAAAATTAGAAAAGCTTCTAAATTAGAAATCGGAAAACTTCTCTCTCTAAAATCTCTATTACTTAGTTTACCAATTTGTTTTACCTTCAAAGTACTAACAAATTGGACTAAGCTATTAGAAAACTTCTCTGCTGTGTTTATGAAAGTTCAAAAATACTTAAAATATGTTCATAGGTGTAATATTTAAAATTTTTATCTAGAGTCTTTGAGCATATGCATGACTTGAAAAATCAGTTTATTTTTTCCCTAATTGTCTGTAAAACAATTCATTTTCATAGTTCTTCAGAAACTGAACTGGGCCCTCCAGCAGCCGAGCGGTAAATTCGCTGAACACTAGGTAGTTCGGTGCAGGGTTCGAATTCTAGCGAATGGACTAGCTGCATGGGCGTTTTCGTGATTTTTCCCATTTTAAGGTGTATACAAGCCAGTTTCCCTTATAAAGTCTTCCATAAAGATATCCCTTCCCCTAGGAAGGTAGTCCCCGTGTGATTCGCCGTAATCAACTAAAGCAAAAAAACAGAAACTGAGCCCTTTTTGTTACTTTTTCAAAATCTGTATATTTTAGAGAAAAGTTTTAATACTTGATTTTTGGCATTAACTCAATCTCAAACGTGAGTGGCTCTTGCACCCCCCCCCCAGTAATCTGTAGAACGCAGCTAACTTTTTTTTTAATGGCAGTAAAAACCTGTAATAAAAATAAAGAACTAAATAAAAAAAATCCGCGTACTCAGAACTTGATCTGTATATATACCGAAATTTCATATCAAATTATTGAGCACTTTTTCAGTTACAGCAGGTTTTTTTGTTTTGTTTTGTTTTGTTTTTTGTTGTTTTGTGTGTTGTGTGTGTGAGTAATTTAACCGTGAGTTTTTTTTTTTCCTTCTTAACTGGTGGTAGGAGGCAGCTGAGATATACACACATGAAAATTTACAATAAAGACTTTTTTTCTTTTGAGCAGTAAAGCTTAATTATTAGACTGGCCTACCCACCGCTGCCTTCATGAAAAAGAGGTCAAGATGTATAAAGTTATTATGCTTCAGGTTATTAACAATGAAAAATATTTTGTAATGTAAGCTGTAAGCTCTTCTTCCCTTTTTTTTTTTTTTTTTTTTTTTTTTTTTTTTTTTTTTTTTTTTTTTGTGTGTGTGTGTGTGTGTGTGTGTGTGTGTAGTGTACTACTTATGTAATATGCTGTTCTGTAGGTGAGAATTTATTTGAAAGCTGAGAATATTAGATTGTATTTGCAGCTGAGACTTGTTATCAGTATGATTTCAAACGTTACCGAAAAGAGAGGAAATATTAATTAATAACCTAAAGCCCAAATATTAATTGATAACATAATTTCAATGAGGTTGTGAAAGCTTTGACCTTAATGGTTAATTTATAAGGCTGTGGTATAGCAACAGTGATTACATCCGATTACACGCTGTGTTTGCCTAAGTCCTTACCCGGCCGCAATTTTCACAAGTGTTGGTCGTAGACATATATTTCCAGACACGAAAATGTGTTAAATGATACTAAGATTCATGTTTTCGCATTTTAAAATTAAAAAAAAAAAAATCGTTAAAGATACAAAATGTAACTTTTTATACTTTCCCTCAGTTCTTATATTTAAGAAAGTTGTGTACTCATTCAAAAGTAAAACTCAGAAACATTTGTTTCCCTATCTGACAAAAATTGGCTGAGATACTAAATTTTCGGTGTCGGAAATAAAGTCGGTGATCATATTCATGGACCGTATATAAATTGAAGAGCGAAATATTGCATTTGTGCCTAAACATGAATAAAATATTTAGTATAGAAAATGATTTTTGACGGTGATAGACTGAGGAGCATTTCTGTGCAGATTTGTTGTGAAAAGGATTGATCATTCTCCTTCTTTGGGGGGGGGGAGCAGGAAAAGATATTTTTTTCACAGAATCGTTGAATTCGTGTTATAGGAATATCAGCAAGCTTTATTGTATGGTTACAACGCTCAACATTATTTGCATGAATTACAATTAAAAAATTTTCTACTTTAATGAATTTTTGTGTGACGATTCTAGCATATCAAAACTTCATAAAAGCATTAATAACATATTTTTAGCATTACTTGTAGATGGGAAAATTCATCTCGTATATCATTTGTAACAAAATTATAAATTAAAGAATGTTGCACACAGTCGAATAGGATTTAAGGATGAAAAGAAAAAAAAACTCGAATTATTCTAATTTATTTAGTAACCAACTCCTTAATGCGAGTTAGAAATGACATCAAGTATCCCTTATTTTGAGATTAAATATCTCAGCCAATTTTAACGTGTGGGAGTCAATTTTTTTGTTTTACTTTTTACAATGAGTGTAAAGTTTTCCTAATATAAGAATGAAGAGGGCCGTATGAAAAGTTAGATTTCATAATTTTTATAAAACTGAATTTTGTAAATTTTAAAATGACAAAACCATGAATATTTGCTTCATTTAAAATATTTTTGTAACTGAAAGTTTATGCCTACGATTAATGGTTGCAAAGATAAAAGCCTAGTAAGGACTTTCGTGAGCACAGTGCGTAACGTGTATTGAATCAAACCGTAAAACCTTTTTTTTTTCCCCTTTCATTTTCGCTTTTATAGAATGTTGTGTTAAAGTTTACAAAATTTAAAATAATTTTGATATGTGCAATAGTGGGCGCAGATTTACGAGCTACAAATGCATTCTTGTTGGCCATGCAGATTAATAGTACTTTCTGTTTTTTTTTTTTTTTTTTTTTTTATTTTTTATTGGTGCATTGGTGAATACTTGTCTCTTTTCTAACTAACTGTACTCAAAAAGGCTAGGGAAAAAAATTCGCATAACTGCATAAAAACGGAGAAAACATCGCTATTATTTTAGCAGGAAAAGAACTAGAGTTTTTGCTTTGGGCTAAGTTACAAAAATATAACATTATTTGAAAAATTGCTTTATAACTCATTTACGCAGTTTGAGCCATTGGGGTGCGCTGAGTCTGAAGCAAATGTTTTATTCATTCACTTTAGTTTCGCATGTTTATTTAAATGTTAATTTCGTTGCTCCTGTTTCTCAAATATTCTGGAATGGTTTTGCTCTGATTGCTGTAACATGATGATATCTTTTCGTTGTAATGGCGCTTTTTATTTTAATTTCAGTTTTTATTTTTTCCTTTCCTTTATTCCTTTTCTTATTTATTTCTTTTGAAAGAGTGCTAATGTGCGATAACTTGCAAAAATAAAATTGATTTTCTTTAGCAATGTTATTTTAAAATAGAAAAGTGCATTCTGCAGGAAGCATTGTGTTTTTACTGCTTACTGTCAGCATCTAGTGACCTTACTGATATATAGGTATTACACGGAATAGTAATTAATGCTCAAATCCTGCCAATGTTCAGTTAATGCCAAATATTCGCTCTTCCAGAAAAGTCGCGTATCATTAATATTTTTATTTCAGAGGGTTTATTTATTTATTTATTTATTTTAATGGCGGGCACTAGCCATTTTTAGGCTTTCGCCACTACTAAGACCAGAAGTGGTGGTCATTTTATTATGGAGGCACTTCATAGGCAGCCTCCGGTACCTCCTATGAGAGGGACAGATCATTTACATCCATGCTTTCTCCGGTATTCGAATCCGGGCCCTTCGGTATCACAGTCAGTTCCCCTAACCACTATACCGTCTGAGAGGCTTCAGAGATTTTTTTTATTTCAATATTTGGATCTTTTGCCGCATTATTTATCATTTTATTTCTGAACAGCAAGTTTAAGACGTTCAGATTTTAAAACTGAAATTACTTCATAGTTTTAAGATAATATACTCGAGCAACCAAAAACATTAAAACCACCTGCCTCACATTTTTAGTCTTGCTTTCGTTTCTAGGAGAGCTTTTCTTCAAAGAATCTTTAGATTCAATGATATATTCGGTTGATGTCTCATGATATTTGGTTCCATGCTCCTGCAGAATTTAATTCTTATGGTACCATTGATTACCAGTAAGATATTTGATAGCATGCTGCAACATAATTCGATTCTAATAAATTATGTTGTTGGAATATTATTACTGGTCATAACTAACTCGCCATCTCAATTCAGAAGCACCTGATTAGATTCGTGCCCGCGAAGTTAGTGAATATGCAATGAAGTTAATTCTTCGCCTTATGCTTAGATTCTGCTAAGTAAGAAACGAAGCGCTGTCTGTTGTTCTTACAACTTATCTCATTTTCTGAGAGTAACATCAAAACAAGTCCACAAATTTTATTGCGTCTTTTTTTGGCATGGGCCTTAGTCACTTTATAGGCGATAGTGCAAAAGAGCTCTGTTCCGAAAAATTCCCCCAGGAGGATCCCGAGGATCTGTCAGCCCTTCTTTCCTTATTACCAAACTACTTGTGAAGTCCTTCGATTTGCCGTGCCCCCATGCCACAAAGACACTATACGCTTAAACATCCAAATCTGCTACAGGATTCGTACCCGGACTAAACGATATGACAGCCAGCGACGTTAAGCACTATACCGATCAGGAC